CGCCTCTGATTGGACAGTGCTATTTGAATAATTTATGACAAATGAAGCCATTTCATTGGTTAATTGATAATTAGCATGCTTTAAAAAAACAACACACAAAAATTTTAAAATTCCAGATCAAGAATCAAGATTTCCTTCGGGGCATACAAAGGTTTGAAAGACTAGAAATATAATCTGTTGAGTTTAATTTTGTGCTGTATTGAAGTTTAAGAAAATAAAGACAGATAAAATTCTAGTGTTTGGACACTCAGCGAACAATGCTGACAAAATATATATAAAATACAACAAACTATCGGACGGAAATTGACAATTCATAATTGACAATGTAATAAATTGACAATCTGTTATATGTCCCGACTCCTTGCGAATAAGCATTTTTTTTACATGTAATGTATTTAAGAATAACCAGTTGTGTGTATATTTAATACTTTGTCTTTGTATACAAATATACACCATATATATATGTACACCAAGAACTGAGGTTGTACACCGGACGTGCCGGCAATGATCATCGTTCAGCATTGTTCGCACTCAAAACAAATCTCTTCATCGAGAAATATATGCAATATATTTCTGGTGTATCGTTTTTCAGATTGTATTTCAAGTCTTTCAAACCTTTGTATGCCCTGAAGGAAATCTTGATTCTTGATCTGGAATTTTAAAATTTTTGTGTGTTGTTATTTTAAACGCATGCTAATTATCAATTAACCAATTAAATAGTTTCATTTGTCATAAATGTCCAATCAGAGGCTGGTCCCCAAATCTGGGAACCATCCATGTGACCTGAACAAGGATTATGTATCCAACTCACAGACGTTCTCTTGCACGCTTCATTGGGAGTAACGGCTGTACACAGGCTTACTGTCGTTCCAATTGAAGTGTTCCTCAAATATTAGGGCCATTTATACGGAACAAAATAAGACGCGACTTACATAAGACGCGACTTAAGTAAGACGCGAGTTTGTCGTATAAAAGGTACAAAATTCTTATGTAAGTCGCGTCTTGGATAAGACGCGTCTTACATAAGAACAGGACTTTTAGCTGTTCTTATTTAAGTCGCGTCTTAAATAAGAAATTTTGGACAAAAAGTCTAACTACACATGCCAGAAACTTGAAACAACGTAAAATTTAATGCCTTGCATATTAAAACAAGAACAACCAAAACAACATTAGGGCAATTTATACGGAACAAAATAAGACGCGACTTACATAAGACGCAACTTAAGTAAGACGCGAGTTTGTGGTATAAAAGGTACAAAATTCTTATGTAAGACGCGTCTTGGATAAGACGCGTCTTACATAAGAACAGGTCTTTTAGCTGTTCTTATTTAAGTCGCGTCTTAAATAAGAAATTTTGGACAAAAAGTCTAACTACACATGCCAGAAACTTGAAACAACGTAAAATTTAATGCCTTGCATATTAAAACAAAAACAACCAATACAACATTATAGCTATAGCAAATAAATAAGACCAAAGCCGTAGAGAACCATTTATGCGATAACTTCACTTATTTAAGTCGCGACTTATTTTGTCACGTATAAATGGCCCTATTGATTCAATACATTACCTTGGGCTGACCAATTCATTTGATCAAGTTCCTCGAAATATTCATACACTTCCTGTGAAAGAGCCAATTCCAAGAATTTGATCATTTTTGGTCACTTCCTTTCTATTTATGATTGGTTAGTTGCACAAACAACAAAGGTGATTGGTGCATTCAAACTATTCAACAGGAAGTTTACAATTACACTAGGAAGTGCATAGACGGATTTTCATATTTATTACTGGGGTGGTGCCAGAAATTTTAGGGGGGTGAGCCGTGAGCAGGTGACTGAAGCAAGACAAAGTGTCACCAAACCCCAGTAAGGTCTATATATTCTAGGGGTGTAGCACTAGAGCCGCGAGGGGGAGTCTAGAGAGCAGAAAACAAAGTGTCCCAGGAAACATTTGAAAAAAATTATGATTTCTAGCTTCGAAAGACATGTCCGATTGTCTGTTGAAACTTGAGAGAGTTAAAGACTTAAAGTTAAATGAACCTGTAAAGTGTAAACCCAATAGGCCAATACACAATATGCTTTTACTTTTATAAAGTCATGGACATTGTGTTGTATGAATCCGAGTACAATTTATGATGCAACTTCGATGTGAATAATATCTGGGGCGTAAAGATTAAATCTAAGCAAGTCTATTTCCTAAAAGAATTAAAAACTAAAAATAGTGTTCGTAAAAATTCCAAACGTTCCTTGCGTGCAAGCTATTCGCATGACAAGGCACTGCAAACTCTGTTCAGGGAAGATACTAGAGTTTCAAAACTTTACAATTGCTCCAATAAACCAGTGAATGCAAGCGAGGAGCGATTAGTTTCAGAGTGTTGCACTGTCTTTTTCTATTTGAGTGTACTCCTACGTTTATTTTGTATCATCAACACTCTGCACGTTGGAGTGGACTATTTAATTATTTATTTATTATGCCGAATATTGGGGGGGTTGAAAATTTTTTTGGAGGGGTGGACGTTTTGTTTGGGGGGGTTATAGCTAATATTGGGGTGGTAGCACCCCCCCAGAAAATCCGTCTATGAGGAAGTGTATGAATATTTCGAGGAACTTGATCAAATTAATTGGTCAGCCCGAGGTAATGTATTGAATCAATATTTGAGGAACACTTCAATTGGAACGACAGTAAACACTACAATCTACTGTAACATTTCTTAGTCCCATCTGATCATATCAGTCCAATCATGTTTAATGCTCAGTCATGCTAGACTTGCACATATTCTTAAATACTAAGTTCTGGTTTATAAGGCCTAAAAAAATACCTGTGGTTCCGGTTTCATATCATGAAAAAATTAGGGTCGGTAGGTCGGAAATACATTTTTTAAAAATTTTTTTTCATGGTTTTGGCTGGGTTTTTTGCTGGCCGATTTGCAGTAGAGTTCCAACATCAATATTATTAACTACTGATGTGTATCTCCTATGGACGAATTTAGACAATTTGGTTCAATCATTAGTGTGACAAGAGACGCCATTTTGGCATGCTGTATGAGCAGCCCGTAACTACCCGGAGAAAATCAGGTCGCATGGTCAATCGCATTGAAAAAATAATAGGGTCGGCAGAAAAAAATAGGGTCAGTCGGGAACCAGAACCACAGGTATTTTTTTAGGCTTAACCTGAGCTTGGACAGATGTCATAGATCAAATGGCAGATGAGAAGAGTATTGTGTACATACGTACGTGGTACGTAGCTGACAAAACAGAAGTACCACACTGTAATATTGGCATACTTCTGGTATGTAAGTACGCAAATTATTGCACCCTGGACACCCAAAGGGTGTAACATTTAATCGGCATGGTTTTTAACCAATCGGAATTGAGTAAATTAGCTAGAATGCTATTAGTTAGTAAAGTATAAACTTCAACAGCTTGATGCACCACAGTCTGTGTTGTTGCAATTGATACCTTAATCCTAACAATAACCTCTATCAAACCTGAAAACCTCCCAAATGTGGACCACAGTGTCACTAACAGGGCAGGAAAAAAGAATTTTCTTCCTGGGAGCACAACCTGGAGACAAAAATTTCCTGCAGACCAACGAAGTATTTTTGTGCTAAATCTGCATGTGCATAAACATATAGTGTTCTAGCTGATCATGGTTTTAAATTCAAGGAATAATATCTGTCAACCATATGTTGTTGCGCCCATAGTGGGGCATGGGTGTTAAGGTTTCCTTCAATTTTTCAATTGCAAATCTTCATTCAAACGAATTCCTGCAGCTGTTTAACATTTCCTGCAAGCAGTGCTCGCGTGCTCGCCTATTTTTTCCACCCCTGGTCACTAATGTAGGCTGTTGCAATTATATCAATGAGTGTGTAATAAAGTAGAAGTAGAAAGTGCAAACTCTCCAGTCTCCCCCTTCACAAGTAAAACTGTCTGCTGTTAGATGGAGTAAAAAAGTAAAGTACAGGTGTATGTACCACAGAATACCACGGTACTACAGAATACCAGTCTTATTTATTTCTTATATAAAATTTGAAGGAAATATGCTATAAACTTTATTTTTGCGATTATATATTAGTTTTAGTCTTAATTGACATATAAAAACAAAAAATGTATATTTTCTTAAAAATTCTTAAAAATAATCAGGATTAACAAACAGTAACATTCTATATTTTTGGTACTTTTTTTTCGCATAATGCTTATAAAATCCGAATGTTTAATTTAAAATAAGTTCGCAAACCAGCATAATTTATGTTGATCAATACTTTTTCTATGCAATGCAACATTATTACTACACTGGAATCACACAGTGTAATCAATTTTACCATTGAAAAACTGAATTTTTCAAAATTATTGATAAACCTGGTATTCTTTGGTTATACCACTGGTATTCTGTACTTAGATTCTGTATTCTGGAATTAGTGTTTAACTTTCACTAAATTAAGTTAGCAATATCCCACAGTATTATCATACAACATGACACACCAAATCCTGGTACAATTTGATAAACCGTTGCTTACTTACCTCTGCACTGGCATTCTGTGTACATTGGATTTTTTTCCACAGAATATTCATTTAAAAAAAATAATTAGGTCTATGAAATCTTGTCCCAAAACCCCCAGGAAGAAAAAATATATCGATAGACTATACTAAAAAATATCAAGGAACCATATTATATACATTAGACAAAAGATGTGGAACATGTAAATTTTTGCGGTATTCTGTGGTACATACACCTGTAGGGCATAGTTGGGCTGCATTGTAGCTCAGTGGGTTAAAACATTATAAAACGTTATCAAAATTCAAATTCTGTTCTATTTGCTCAAAGTAGTCTCTGTCAATCCCTTGGGCCTGAAAACTATTGTCTCTGCTCTGCTGCATGTTATTCGTTTGTATAAATTATTAATTTTTTTTTGTCCATTCTGTTTTGTTTGTAATGTATATTTTATCTTCAGGAATGTATTCTGAGTGGTTTGCTGTCTGTAAACAAGAAAAAAGTTCTTCACATGGATCGTAACAAGTATTATGGTGGGCTAAGCGCATCTCTCACACCTCTAGAAACTTTTTATGAACATTTTGAAAGAAAAGATAAACCCGCTGAGAAATATGGCCGAGGAAGAGACTGGAATGTTGATCTAATTCCTAAGTTTTTGATGGCTGATGGTAAGAATACCCCCATTGAGTGCCAGCAGTCTCCTGTTGTCAAGTAAAATCATCTGGCATTAGACAGAGTAAAATCACTTTAGGGGACATCAGCGCACAATGCCAATCTGATTAACCCAATGAGTGCTGGCAGCACTCTCGTCTCAGGGACCCTTGATGTCATTTATTGAGTAAAATCACTTTGTGTTAGATAGAAGCAGTCAGTGATAAATGTCTGATCAATAGGGTTGGGCGATATTTCGATATTTTGATTTGTCGCGATATTTTCAATCGCGATTATTGTATCGAAGGTAGAAACTTGAGCGACAATATGTCGAAATTATCTTCATGCTCGTTGACTATCATGATATTGCTTCGTATGTGTATATACCTTTTATAAAATCCTAAAAAAATATTTCAGTTCCTAGAAAATATAGTTTTTAAAAGAATTAAAACTATTTCCTGAATTGAATACAAAATTAATACGATACCAAAGCTATTATTTATGTATCAATCCGCTGAACAACGAAATTACAGTCTTTTCTTGCGCTCATGTGTGCCAGCGGAGACATACAGTTGTAGACACTGCAGACATAGTAGACATGCAGTTCTGGTTTAATGACCATGAGTAAATATTAGACTAGAAAAAGGCTTCGTATTACTATAATTTGTTGTTTTACTTGTTTTTAATAAGATTATATATCAGCTTACTATGCTTTGATATTAATTAAAATTGAAAAATGTGGTCATTGTTTTTATTGCATTTATCGCCGCAGGGGTTTCAAAATAAGCCGGCGGCCGGCGGAGTTCCGCCGGCTACTTGAACTTTTACCGCCGGCTACTAGTTTCGTCTGGTCACAGGAAAAATTTTATATACTGTACAAAGGTACAAGCGAACCAACACGATGTTTGTTATGTTCCAATTGGAATTCAAGTTGGGCGGTCTCGAATTTCCCTGAAATCAATCGACGGCAATGGCGTTAAAAATTGCCGTAGAACGTAACAGCTGTCTACGGCAATTTTGTCAGTTTCCACGGCATTTTTTCAAATTACTGTAATAAAAATTTAATTTTATTGTTACTTTGGATTGCTGACAAGCTAGAAACATGTTTACGTATTTCTTTAGTGTGTTTTTTTTTTCGAAGAAAACTGAGACTAAAATTATAGTAATTTACGGATGATTTGATCAACATCTGAATTCAAGTATCAAAATAGTAATGCACAGTGAACAGTTTAAAAATTATACTATACGGCAAAAAATTGCCGTCGTTGCCGCAATGATCCACGGTATTTTGTTCTCCCTCTACGGCAATTGCCGCGATAAAATTCAAGCCCTGAATTCAAGCAAAACATCACTTATTTTGGAAGATCAATAAGATAAATTATAATACATAGTACCAAACATAGCAAAAGAAAGAAGAAGGGATGAAGTGAAGTTCATTACGTACATAAGTATAACATCATTTGATTAATGATTTCGGACTCATAAATTAATACTATTCTATTACTGTAGTGTACATTGTCATTCTGTTCATGCAGCTGTAAAAATTAAACTACTAGTAGCACATTAAAGTACATTGTCACTTACAAGTAAAAATGCAAATGACATCTAAATCTAACATGTTAACAGTTGTACTTTGTCTTTTTACGTATTCTATATTATTTGATTGTTAATTTGCGGCGAAAATTTTTTAAATTTCCATGCGAGGGCACGCTCCCCTCCCCGCGCGATTTTTTAACTATCAGTCACAGCCGGCTACTTTTTTGGTACAACCGCCTACTTCAAATCATTCTGAAACCCCTGCGATAGATATTATCGAATATCGTGATAATTTCCTTGACAATAATCGTGAAATGATTTTTTTAATATCGCCCAACCCTACTGATCAACTGTGCAGTATCTCAGACACTGGCTAACAATGATTGGCCAGCTTTTCAAAATTTATATTCAATTTGATTTTCAATTTGATAGCTCATGCTGATCACTTCCTGCATGATCAATCACGTTGTAAAAGCAGTCTCAATGATACATTGCATATTTGTGTTTTGGAATTTTCTGCATGTCTGGTGCCAAAATTTCAGACCCAGATCATGTATTCTATTTAGGCCAAAAAAAATATGTGGTTTCGTATTTCTTCTTGTAAAAACTTAGGTAGGGTAGGTCGGTTTTAACTTCTTTTTTTTCAACTTTTTTTAAAATTTTCCTAACAACCAGAAGCCATTTTGACACAAACGTTTTCCTCTAAGTTCAAATACTTACAAGGATGATCCAATAAAAAAGTTTAGGGTCAGGATTTTGGCATCCAAAAGCTAGGTAGGGTCGGGAAACCGGAAACCCACAAACCCACATTTTTTTTGGCCTTATGAAATGTTGCTGGAACAGTACACTTGTCAAACCTTTATTTTGTTAATCTAGAGCTTGAAGTATCCCCTGTGGCAATGTGTGATTGCCAACTGTCATCCTAATTTGACTGGTGCTTAATACCACTCAAAGGGATATTTCAATACTGGCAGTACTCTACCACCGACAAGTAAAATCATCTGGCATTAGACAAAATAAATATTAGTAGGGTACATTTGGGCACATTGCCAGTCAATGGGTTAATAAGAGACAATGGCACATAGGTTTGTTAACCTATTTACTGGCAGTACTCTAGCGCTGACGAGTAAAATTGTCTGGTGTTAGTAATACTAAACTACTAAAGTAGGGCACATTTGGGCACATTGCCAGTCAATGGGTTAAATATTGTATTTTGTACATATTGCGATATTTTACGTTTCAGGTGAACTTGTTAAGATCCTGATTCTCAGTGGTGTAACACGATACCTAGAGTTCAAGCAGATTGACGGAAGTTTTGTCTACAAGAGTGGTGGCAAAATCTACAAAGTACCAGCTAACGAGAAAGAGGCTCTTGCCTCATCGCTTATGGGAATTTTCGAAAAACGGAGATTTAAAAATTTCTTGCATTTCGTTTCAAATTTTGACGTAGAAGATCCCAAAACATGGCAAGGTATGGATTAATTTAAAATCTTTGGTTTGTATTTGTTTCAAACCTTGTGTAGCAGTTTATATAAGGCGAGACTTTTTTTATTCATTGGTTTACGAATCGTTTCAGAAAGTGAAAAAAAAAAAAAATGGATGTCAACAATAGACGTTATGCATAATGACATCACAAGGCAGTAGTCATCCCCCGGGAAAATTAAACGATTCAAAATGGCCACTATCGAAATATTCCCGGGCGATGACTACTAAGACCAGCATTCTTTGCGGGCATCATGCCTTGTGACTACACAGCCAGAAACGCGCAAGTCGGAACAGATCTGCAACAGATCTGTTAAATTCTGTTGTCAACAAGCCGATATCTGGATGCGTTCGCTCGCCTTGTACCTGTCTGTTCTGACAGACCTGCAACGGCCTGTCAACAGGTCTGTTACAAGC